CTATACTAGTTTTATATTGAAACATAGGTATACGAATTCGTATACTGAAACACAGGTTGAGTATGAAACCATATATTGAAGAGGTCATTATATGGTATTAAAATCATTTGAATGCCGATTGAGATTATTAGAATATTTTCTTTTGGACTGTTTTCAGTCCCAGACCAGACCAGACCAGACTTAAACAGACCAGACCAGACTTTTATAGTTATAAATTTATAAAATACACAGAGACCAGACGTTTACCAGACCAAACCAGAACAGTTCAGACTATACCAGACTTAAACAGATCAGACCAGCAAATTTCAGTCCAAAAGATCCAAAAAAAACATCCTTATTGTCAATTATTTCATAAATTAAATAGCAATAGAGATGGTACATAAGCCACACGTTGTAGAGCTTTACTTAAATTAGAAAGAGGGTGTATTACAAAATTATAATGGTGTTATCAAAATATAAACAGCAAGTGATTAAGCAAGGTATACTTACCTTAATTAGAGATACACGGTCATCAAAGACTTAGAGTCTCTTTAATTTGAGAGTGTATTACCAAATTATGTATTTCACAAGTGTTTTTAAAATATGACAAATCAAATTAATGTGAAAATGACATGTGTCAAGTCATCGTGAGCATGACACTTGTCAAAAAAAAAAAAGATGACACCCCATCCCTGAGGGCCCCCCAACACCGACCGGACGACACGATGGGAGGATGTAAATTGGACTATAATCACAATCTGATAGATAGAGAGTGGTGTTCTGTCCCCGGTACTTGCAGAAGCCCTATGCATTTTTCAGCATAGTAACCCCTCATCGCAGTTGCCGGGATTCGAACCCGAGACCTAACCCCTGTGGCACTCCCTCGCTACCAGTTGAGCTACGCCCACCGGTTGATTCAATGTTACTTGCAAATGTATAATACTAGTTTTTCTTACCCGTACCGTGCACGGGATAAAATACATTTATATATATATATATATATATATATATATATATATATATTTAATAAAAAAAATACAATTTCATCATTAAGATAGGATACGTAAACTAAAAAACGGTATATGCATCCATGTTCATGATCAGCACCGTACACAGTTAACCAACCACAAGGTCCACAACCAAAATAAAAGGCATGCACTGCCGGTACACAACACAGTGTGCAAATCTAACAGACAAATAGGCGCTCTAAGCCTTTCAATGGAAAATCTACTACGCTGCAGCCTTCGGAAAATGTTGTGCTAGCTGCTTGGCAATCTCAAGAAACCCGACTGTCTCCTTCCCACTGAATATAGTCTTCAGCTTCTCATCGCATCTTATCTCTTTCTTATTTGCAGGATTCTGAACATTTTTATATATATCTAAAGAGAGTGGATGACTGAATAAAGATGTAGACATTGTAGCAAATGCACTTGTCAAAGAGTTAATTCAATGTTACTTGCAAATGTATAATATATAGATGTATTGATTTTAAAGTGATTTAAATTTGGGCTTGAAATCTGTTCAAAGGTTCGAAACATCTGTTCTATTTTTGGACTTCGAAACTGTTAGATTGCTCCCGGACACCAAACAATCAGAATGAAACAACACTTCACTTACAAACACACACTTTGATCTATTTTCATGAACTGAGAAACACATACATAAATAAAACTGCTTTGCTTCATTATATATTTGGGGAAAAACCCATTACATCGGATGATAATATAATGGATGAAAAAACCCCCTAGGAACGCCTCATACTTAAACACAAGTTGAGTGCAGCAGTTACAAAAAGAAACTGAAAAGAAATATGGGTAAGAAACGTGGGTAAGGTTGTGTGGTGTGTGGTGATATGCATGTATGCTTTTAATTTCAAAGATAACTAACTCTAAGTAAAAACTAACGTACTGAGCTAAGCTAAGACCTAAAGGAATAAACAAAGTTTAACGAGAACAGAAACATTATACTAATATGTATACTCCCTATTATTATATCACAATCCACAAACTAGGAAGCACGGAAACATGGCTCACGTTTCCACGTTTCGGAAACTCGGAAACGTTTCGGAAATTGGGAAACTTCAAATTCCCGTTTCGGGGTTGTTTCCGTAATTAAGAAAAATTTGGAAACCCGTTTCACTACGTTTTGGAAACCTCGGATTCCAATATTTTTTCTTTTTCAAAAGATTCTGTGGTGGAAAATAATTTTTTTATAGTGAATTTTGTGGTATTTTTCAGCGACAACACTTGTTACATTTCGTAACGCAATGTATTGCTAGAAATGTATTACTCGTACATTTTATGTTTAATTATGTACTAATATGAAATAATATATAAATTCGAACATGTAGAGTGATTTTATTATTTGGTTACTAAACAAATTATATTAAAAAACATGTGCATATGGAAAAATTTGTGTACATATATTAAAAAATATTTATAAATATATCCTTATATTTTATAATATTTACGCGTTTCCCCCACGTTTCGTGTCCTATATTTTTTAGAAATTACGTTTCTCGCGTTTCCCGTTTCCGTGCTACTTAGTCCACAAACGATAAGCTTGAGTTGGAAATGTTATACTCTAGTGAGACAGTGGGAGTAATATGTTCGGGGCAAGGACTTCGCTTGGATGGAATAATGAGGATACACTAGGATTCTAGTGAATTCAAGTCGAATTCGAGCAAGCCCGTCCTAAGATTTGGATTCAATAACTAAACCTTAAGCAATAAAAAAAATGCACAATTTTGATTAGGAATTATATTTTGATGACAAATAATTTAGATTAGTTTTGAGTCTTTTGACTTATGTATTTTCGAAAACACTAACATAGGAATCTTTAGACAAGTAAATGAACACTAAATTTTGTACTATATTCTATAAATTCCGTATATTTTTTAAATTTTCGGGGCCTCTTGAATAGGAAGGTCCGAGTAGTGTAGCACTTTTTTGCATGTACTAATCTATATTTAAGTATTAGGAATTCCCAGTTTCATGTGAGAGATAATTTACCCACTATTAGTGGAAGTAGGGGATGTAAGGAGAAGGAAAGTGAGTGACTAAGAGCATCTCCAATGCTACAATGTGTATGGTGCACATGTGGCATGAAAGAGATAGACACAAAAGATTGATTTATGACATTTCTCTCCCCGTACGTCTTTCCACGGTCTTATGTGTTTTTGGTAAGTTTTTCTCTGTAATGTCAACTACAATGTCTACATCTAGACATTGTGCTTGACATTGTGAAGAAAAACTTACCAAAATGATATAAGTTCCTTCAAATAAGAAGAGATATTTTATTTATTGTTTTTTGATCGACTATCTCTCATGCCACACCGTTAACATTTTCGCATTGGAGATGCTCTCAAGAAGCTAAGGATGTTTTCAGTCCTAGGCCAAATCAGACCAGACTTAAACAGACCAGATCAGACCAGACTTAGACAGACCAGATCAGACCAGACTTAAACATACCAAATCAGACCAAACTAGATTTAACTTCGGTAGTTATGAAATACACATCAGACGTTTACCAAACCAAACCAGACCAGTTCAGACCAGATCAAATTTAAACAGACCAGCAAATTACAATCCAAGTAAAAACATCCTAAATAAGGGTTGGGCTGATATAATTTCACCAACGAAAATGAAGCCCTCGAAATGAAATGAGATTGAAAAGACAATCAACAGGCGAGGGGGCAACAAAGAGGGGCATAAAATAAAAACATGCTTCGGAAAATAAAATAAAAACTTGATTTCCTTAAATTTCCTCAAGTTCAAAGTGGCTTATGATAGTAAAAATGTCTAAATTAAAAAATTGATTTCCATAAATTTCTGAAATTCCTTAAATCTAAATAAAGAATTGATTTCCTTGACTTTCATTAGATCAAATTAAGAAGCTTTTTAGACAGTATGTAATACGGAGTACTTTATTTGGATGAAGTATTAGTAGAGAAGTACTGAAAAATTAGGAGTGTCCATAAATGGTAGAAGGTACCTTCCCCACACCTAAAGGCTAAAACTAGGGATACACTTCTTTGAATTAACACCACAAAGGGAGTCTACTGTAGTGTTGACAATATGAGCCTTTTTTTTGGTCAAGATATGAGCCTTATTATTCATTCAATTCTCTCACTCTCATTTAACCCTTTAATTCATGATAATTTTTTCCCGCTTCTCATCTATTGTTCTTCTTGATAGCACAAATGTTCATGTCCGGAATTCTAGACAGGAACCTCCATCCGGACGGCGGCATTTGGCCGCCTTCCCGGTGTCATTTTTTGATGAAATTTTTATGGCATGTTCTCCATCAAGTCTAGTTTATCCAAAAAAAAATTCAACCAAAAACTCAATCGGGAAGATCGTCAAATGATTTTTGCAAGTTAACTGGTCCGGAATATGTATTTTCCGGACCAGTTAACTTGAAAAAAATCATTTGACGACCTTCCCGAATGAGTTTTTGGCTGAATTGTTTTGTGGATAAACTAGACTTGATGGAGAACATGTCATAAAAATTTCATCGAAAAATTCCACCCGGAAGGAGGCCAAACGCCGCCGTCCGGACGGCGGTTCCGGTCAGGAATTCCTGACCGGAAGAGTACTCTTCTTGATAGTTCTTAATTTTGATATGATATATGCATATTTGGTAGGTATAAGTCTCCACCTTCTAATTACTGTATCATTTAAAAAGTCTCTAAAAGTTTGTAGTTCAATGTTTGACATAATAATTTTTAAAAGCTTTTTAAACATAAAAGGTATTTCTTGAGATGCTACAATGAGTAGCATCTAAGAAAAGTTTATAACTTTTAGCATTAATTAATTAGTCTCAACAATTTGCATACCATACAGACTTAATCGAATGGTAAATTTTTTATTAAGCAAGTACAACTTTTTTCTTTTAAGATCTTATTCAACTATGCTCCCTGAAGGAGCATAAACCGTTTTAAGAAGGAGATACAAACACCCCTAACTCAATCCAGCCCAATCTAAACGAAGCCTTATATACTTGCTCTAGGCACGTGTTGGGAAATGGGTACTATGATCAAAGAATTCTCTGTATTAATTTTGCCCACTCTTCCTATTTTACTACATTTACGACTCATTATTGTTATTGTCACGCCACTATCCCCACCAGGCATACTGTGCACTGCAAATAGTCTATACATTATTATACCACCTTCCACCCAACAATGGAGGCAAAACTGGGCTTCGATGGTCTAGGGCACGTGGAGATTATCTACGAGGAAGAAGAAGATGAAGAAGACAAAACTAAAGGCGGCAGTGACCTATCCTCTTCCACAGCCATTTCTGCTCATGACTCGCCCTCCTCTCAGCTTCCACACCTTTCTTGTATCAAATCCTGGTAAATAGTTCAGCCCTCCTTAATTTCTCCTCTCTGGCTGTATTTGGATAGTGGCGGTTTGGGCAAAACGTCATTTTTTTTAACGAAAGAAACGCTGGTATTTCCACCGTCTTAGATAATTCCCTAAATAGAAGTAAAAACGTTTTGAAATTCCAAAATAAGAGTATCATGTTTTTTATTATCTGAATAGGAGTAAATTTTTGCCAAGTTTGGTTTTACAAGGCTTTAAAGATGACAATTTCTTCCAAACTTGGCAGATTACTCATATTCAAGGAATAAAAAACATGATACTCCTATTTTGGAATTTCAAAACATTTTTACTAGGGCAATTTCTGTTATATATATTAATGAGGTGATTCAAATAAAAAGAGTGTTTAACTTGAAAAATGAAAATACATATTTACTTTATCTAAGTACACTACATTTTTAGATTGAAATATTGCCCATTCTTTCGCGGCGAAGAAAATGTTCTATTACCAACCTGTTGCATGTTTAGTACGGAGTATTTTTTGGAGTACTAAAATCAGTCTCATTTTTCACATTACTAGTTTTTTTTATTTTGTTTGATTCAAAACCTATATTGATATATTCCGCCTCTATATTTGTATTTATATATTTATATATGTTTTGAATTGGGATTTTGGAAATTAAAGGTGCCGAACAACCGGAGATGAAACGGACGTGGTGATATACGTGGAGGATTCATGTTTCCACTTGCACAAGGTACAGTGTGGTTATTAATTTGCCGCATGATTCACCCTACGTTACAGGATTTCCATAATTAATGCTCCGTATGCGTTAGATGGAGTAGATGCGTGCATTAACTCTTCCAATATTAAATACTTTCATGTTTAAAAACTATATAATGCATTTATCGACCTTGATAAAGGATCTTGATAAAAACTAAATTTGGTGTTATGAATTGGTCTGGTCTGAAGGAATATGATAAATGTATGGTCTCTATGTATTTTATAACCATCTAAGTCTAGCCTGGTCTAGTTTAAACTGGACTGATTTGATCTGGTCTGCAACTAAAAACAATCTAAGGAAAACATCCAATTATTTAAAATACGTATAAAACTTTTGCTTATGATATCCAATTATTCAAAAGGTTTTGATTCTTTTGAAAAGTAATCCTTATTTTATACTTCCTCCGTTCTTAAATAAATGCAACAGTCAACATTTCACACTTGCCAAGACATAACTTTGACCTTTAATATATATAATTTTGTATTAGTAAAAAAAATTTAAAAAATAGATTTTGAAAATTTACAATGAGACAAATTTAACAATATTTTTTTTATAAAATAATATTAATACATTAATAAATAAAACGTAGTTAAAGTAGAACATGTGAATAGTGTAAAATTCCGTTGCATTAATACATTTATTTTTTAAAATTAGTATGATTTATATGAACAATTCGATCTCTTCAATACATACAGCTAGTTCGTACAATTTTCACTGTTTAATCATATTGCCAATTCAAATTGTTACTCCGTATTTCTTCTTTAATTTTTTAATAGGTGGAATACTTTGACTAGCATTTTTGACAAATTCTATTTGGAGTGCATTTTATTTATTAATAATGTGAAAAAAATTATTTTTTAAACATATTTTAAACTTTGTCTAAGTTAGCTAGAATTCCAAAATATGATTTTTTTTAATTTGTAGTTATAGACACTTACATATATTAATTCTCCTAATTATACACTAACAAACGTAAAATTAAGTGTTGCAACTAAATACAAACATACAAGCAGGGGCGGATCTGGGCCTAGGCCCACACTCAAAAATATAATATTACTAGTATATATAGGTGTTACTCCGTATATTATATATAAAGAATGTCAATTTCATTTTTCTTCTAAAATCTCTATGTCCCACACCTATTATATGTATTTTTCTTTGACATTGAAGTTGCAACATACTACGTATTTTATTTTACTACTCCCTCTGTCACTTAAAACTTTGTCAACTTTTCTTTTTTGGATGTCCATCTAACTTTACCACTTTCCCTTTTAAGTACAGAATTTGTGGTTCCGGTTAATTTCCGCTCCTCTGCACAAATCCCTATCATACAGTTTTTATTTTATTAATTTTCGTACCAGTCAAACATGGCAAAATTTTAAGGGACGGAGGTAGTAATTTACTACATTTTGTCATTTTTTTGCAGTATGCGTTGTTTAATTAAAATTTGGCCCCACCTGAATGGTAATGCTAGATCCACCCCTGCATACAAGTAATTAGTGCTAAAGCCCGTTTTGATCGAAAATTAATTTTTCAGATTATCAATTATTTTTTTTTCGAAACTTAATCGATTGATATTGCATGTTGAATTATGTAACAATAGTGAAAAAAAGACCAAAGTTTCAAAATTTGCTCAAGAAGACCATTTACTTATTTCCATAAATAATAATGCTCTTACTCACATTGAAAAATAATGCTCTTACTTCACTAATACAGTTTATTTGGTACTAGTATATACATAGAATATCATTTTTCATAATTCAACAAATTGAGAGAGTTTAACTTAAATGTATTGCTACTGTTCTACTAAGTACTACACTATTTATTGGTGAAGAATAAAAATCATTTACCCTCGATCGGTAGTTTGAAAAAGAAAAATGTTGTTAGTATATAGTGCACATTTTTTGTACATGTTTCTTGTACACCTTCTAGTTATTTGCCTATATATACAGACGATTAGTTCAGAAACAATTTGTTCAGAAACTAGTTTGTAAACGGACAATTGAAGAAGGTGTACATCAAATTATCTAGGCTAAAGGGTCAAATAGGTACATGAACTAACTTAAAGTGTTCAATTAGCCCCTTATATAGGAGGTTCTGCCCGGCCGTCGCGGGGCTGTTCCCGGTGGAATTTTTTGATGAAATTTTTTGAGAATCTTCTTCATTAAGTCTAGTTTACTCATACCAAAGTTCAGCTAAAAATTCAACCGGTAAGGCAGTCAAATGATTTTTTGAAGATAACTGCGCAGTTAAACAACGCAGTACATTTCGGAAAATCATTTGACTGTCTTCCCGATTTAATATTTAGCTGAAATTTGATATGGATAAACTAGACTTAATGAAGAAGATGCTAAAAAAATTTCATCAAAAAATTCAACTGGGAACCACCCCAATTGCCGACGGACGGGCAAAACCTCATATATAAGGGGCTAATTGAACACTTTAAGTTAGTTCATGTACTTATTTGACCCTTTAGCCAATTATGTAGATCAAGCAGAGCACTTCTCAAAAAGTGAACAGCAAATTTAATGTTCACCAATCCCTGCCTAAAGCAAGTATACGGAATAGAATTCCTTCAGTTAAAGTAAAAGTTTATAGAATTTATTGGACTTCCTTTAATTTTCCACAGGCGGCGTTGACAAGTAAAAGCGGGTACCTAAAACGACACCTCAACAAGTCGTCTGAGCTAACTCTCTCCCCGCCGTTAAAAATAACGGCCCACACATTTACCATGTTGGTCGAATTTCTTTACGGTGTTGACTTAACCTTAACGCCGTTCAACGTCGTCTCCCTTCGAACGGCCGCCGAGCTGCTGGAAATAACCGGCGGCGAAGAGGGGTTGGTCCAAAAAACAGAAATATATTTCTGCCGTGCGGTCACCGTGAAACCGGAATGCACGCTGATCGTGCTGCGTTCTGCCCTGTCGTTACTGCCGGAGTCAGAAACGACGGCGCGTCTTGCCAGCAGAAGTATTGAAGCGTTATGCGTGATGGATAACGGTGTTACGAGCTGCATGGACGACGTTAAAGAGTTGGCTCCCAAGGATTTTACGGTAGTTCTGGAATCCATGAACCGGCGTTTTTGCAGCAGTCATGACCTACTTTACAAGCTTGTTGATCTCTATCTTAAGGTATGATCACAAGTCACAAGAACTTCATAAATTAGTACGGAGTAGTATGGATTATCAAGTCCAAGAATTTATTATTCCGTCAACTGAGTTTAAAGTTATTTAGGGGGCTCAACTTATTATTATGTACTCCTTTCCTTTCATAAAATTCTTTCCAGTTTAATTTGAGTTGAAATTTAAGAATTTGAGAATAAGGTTGATACATATGATTGTGGTTGAATAAGAAAAAAATTAAATTAATCACACAAAATTAATCACCCAAAACATCACAAAATAGAAATGAGAAGAAATTGTTGGAATGCATGTACCAAAAAGGTGAATGGGAAAAAAATTTAAGAGACGGGGAATATTTTTTATTGAATATTGTCAACTTACGTATGTAGTATTATCTTTTGTCCCACTAACATTGGAATAATGCGGGGTGACACCATTATTAAGAAAACTGAGTTAATGTGATTGATATTGAATTGATAAAATAAGAATAAAGTAAGAGTGGGCCAATTTTAATGAAAATTCTCAAGAAAAGTTAAAATGGAACGATGAGCAAGACAATTTTAATACTACATACTACGTATTATTTTGATATACCTAGTATCTAATTTTATATTACGTACTACGTATACTATTTTTAATCATATTTGAATTTGCTTTTATTGAAGAACTTCAAACGTAATTTCTGAATGCCTAGATTATCTTTATTATTATTAATATCATGTATAAGGGCGGATTCAGGGTTTCATGTTGGGATGAGCTGAAACATTTAAATTATATGGAGTAATACATTGAAATTTTTTAAAATAAACAAATAATCAAATATACGAGTTTCCACTAAAATGGGAAATTAAATTTTCGGCGGAAGGAAACAGACTTTATATTGATGGAATTAAGGATTCAGTTTAATTGGAACTCCTTTCTTTGAGTGTTTCATTGGATTTCAAAAAATCATATGAGTCGTTCAATACCAATGTTATTTGTACTCTTGCAAGCAAGTTCTATCTATCGAAAGACAATACTCCCCAACAAATCATCATCAATTTAAAGATAGGATGTAATTGAATAATGCAGGAACACAATGGGAAGATGGCAGATGAAGAGCAGCTGCGCATCTGCAACAACATAGACTGCTCCCTCCTCTCCCCCAAGCTGCTCATGCATGCAGTCCAAAACCCCAAAATGCCCTTACGCTTTGCCGTCCAAGCCATGTTCGTGCAGCAGCTCAACACACGCAGCTCCATCGTCTCCGCCGCCGCCGCCCGCCCCCTCCACAAAACAACCAACAATAACGACAACAATAACAACTCGGTTATGACCCTAGGAGCGATCCTCGAGCGCGACGCGGTTTTCCGCCAAGCGGCTGACCTGAAGGAAGCCATGGACGCCACCAGCTCCCGCATCCAAAGCCTGGAGAAGGAGCTGAGCGAAATGAGGGAGCTTTTAAAACGGCAGCCCATCAGAAAGGGAGAAAGGGGATCTGTTTCTTCTGGAAGTTTCCGGCTGTACTCTGAGAGGAAAAATGGTAAGGGAGAAAAAGGTGGCGGGGTTTATTCTTCATCATCCAGTTTCCGGGTTGTTTCAGGCTCGTCTTCCTCGGAATGGTCGTCGCAGGACGGAAGTCCGATGGTCGGAAAAGGGTATCTACCTCGGAGGTTTATCAAAGGGCTGATAAGCACGTTTAAGGTATCAAAGAACCAGCCGGCGGGAACCCTTGGAAAACTGGGAATGCCAAAGAAGTCGGTGATGACAACGGGAACAACTAGCTAGCTAGGGAATTAGAGTATCCATCCTATGATCTACGATAGTACTGTATTTCGTATATTCTCATATCTTAGCCTGATCAATGCTCTGTTTAGACATAAAAAAATTAGGGATTTATGTTCTCAATTCACTTCCATTCATGCATCTGTTTTGCTCCCATCCAAATTATTAAATGTAAGTTATGTAACTCAATCGAAGTAGTTTATTTATCAAGGAAAAGTTAATGATATACCGGTATAATCAACATCAAATAACATCGTATAGGTACAATAAATTACAATCATAATTATAATTACTACTTCCTCCGTCCCGCTAAGATTGTTCCATTTTACCATTTCGGTCTGTCCCACTAAGATTGTTTCATACCTTATTTGGTAAAGTTTGTGTGACTCTAAAACATTCTTACTTTATTTTTATTTTATCAATTCAATATCAACCACATAGATCACTTTTTATAAATTTGCGTGTTACTCCCCCTTGTCCCATTGTTAGTGGGACGGAGGGAGTACATCCTAGTGGAAGAATGTTAGATTATTTTCAATTACCTAAGGACCAATATACTTCGTATATTAATACTTCTTAAATGAGAAAACTATCAAATAAACCCACGTACTATATCAAAAAAGTCAATTAAACCTCATACTTTAAAAACACTCAATTAAACCCTCGAACTTCTAAAAAAACGTTCAACTAAGGACCAGTTTCCCGTTAACTGCTCACGTGGCAGCCACGTGGCATGCCACATGGCGATTATTTTCTTTTCTCTTTATTTTTCAACTTCCGCATCTGTGTTCGTCATTTCCCCATCTTCCCAAATCCCAAGGATGGCAAGTACCTTTTCCCCATTGTAGTCATTCATCTTTCTCTTCGTTTTTAGTTTTTCCTTTCTTTATTTCGTTCTCCCAACATAGATTTTAAAAGATTTCTAAAGATTGTAAATCTCATGGATTTTAATAGACTTTCAGAGTCAATAGATTTTAACAGAATCTTATGGAATTTCATATTATAGATTTCAATGGATTTCAACATAAACAGGTTTCTTATTGCGGATTTCTTCACCAGCGATTTTTGGGTGAACGGGTCTGGGCGAACTCACATGGGGGTTTCATTACCTACGGAAGTCTATCGTTTGATGCTGCATTTCTATTTGAAGGATTTCATGGCTTCATTATATTAAGCCCAGCCATTAATTCATGGTGTATATATATTAATATATAGAAGCCAAGGTGTTAACCTCTATTTTTAAGAAATCACCGTATAGATTGCAAAAGTCATACCAGGACTTTAATTCATGGTGTATATATGATGAGAACAGTGGGGCGGGGCTGGTGATGTGTACTATTTAGTAGTGCATAAACATCACATTTTAGAATGGTTTTACATTATGTTTACTTAGCTTTTGTACAATTACGGTGTAATCTTTATCTTCTAAAATTAAAGTAGAATTAGAAGATATTAAGATATTTTGACATGTAAGCAAACACATGATGAAAAGAAGAGGAAGGGGCTTGGGAGCATAAGGATTAAGGAAGGTGCATTGGAGACAAGAGGAAGCTTCATGGAGAACAAAGAAATGTGAAAAATCGGATATGATTTGACCCGGAGATCATAAGAGATCAAATAAAGGAAGTGAAAATGGGAAAATTAGATTATGTCTTAGACCCAACCACCTCACTTCTCCTATAAAAACACCTCTTTCCTTCCTATTTTAGATACCAATTTAATCCTCTCTTTCATATACACTTTATTCTTGTAATTTAGGTAGTCTTTCCATCTTGGTTTTGCTACTTTGCTACACTATAAGTTGTGAGTTATTTTCTTTAATCTTCTTCCTTGAATATTAATTTTTCCCTTAATACTATATCTATATTAATGTTGGGGAGTGTTACTAAGATGACAATTAGTTAACATCTCGACATTAGTTAGAGTAGTATTTATTTTCTTCCTCTATATTAATGTTGGGGAGTGTTACTAAAATGACAATTAGTTAACATCTTCACATTAGTTATAGTAGGATTTATATCTTCTTTAATATTCTTCCTTGAATATTAATTAATTCCTATTCATATTTCATATTAATATTTTGAGCATTACTTAAAGGATCAACTAGTTTTGTCTCATATATTAATTATTACTAGAATCGATCGACGAATACGCTTGTTAATCGTTCGATCTTTTCACGGTAGTAAACTTGGATTATTAATGCATGCATCTCATGGTTAATAATCTGAGGGGAATTAATTATATTGATTAAACCAATGAACCGCTTGTGTTGAGGTTATCAATTTCAATCGTTTTCATCTTGAATTTATTGCTACTATCGAGTAAATATATGGCGCGTGTTCTATATTAATTCCCGTGGTAAGTTTTATTAATGAACGCTTCTCGTTATTAATAACTACCCTCGATGAACTGGATATACTCCTCGATTGAGTATTCGAGAGGAAGATAGTTAAAGATATAACCGGGATCGACGAACATTTCATTAAGTGGATAAAAGCAAAACCAAGACTAACTACCTTTGATATTTTATTTCACTCATTTAAGTATTTTATTTGCTTTCTCAATTATCAAAATATCCAATCCCCCCTTCCGTTAACTTTTATTTATTACGCTTACACATACGCGAAAAGCTCCTTTCCCTGTGGATACGAACTCTACTACGCTATACTACGGTATTAGCCCTTAGTAGTAATTTAATTTGAGGCACACCACGACAAAGTGCTCGTCAGCTGGAGCACAAGAGCAAGCGGGCACGAAGGCCGAATATCCGTCTGACCGATTACATGCAGTAGAGAAAGATTTAAGTTCTGATAGCTATTTATTATTATTCTTATTATTATTATAAATTATTCTTATTATTATTTTCATTAGGAGTCCATTAGAAACGGGCACTAGCAGTGTCCTAAAAGGATACGACTACGTTATCTTTGAGTCCCATAGTAATTTGTATTCTTGGTATTATTTATACCAACGTTTCTTTCAATAAAGGGGAAGGAAAATGCAGCTTTACAAGTTGGTCATCTATCACCGTGAGATAGATTTGGTTCCTTTACACCGTGAGTAAAGGGTAAGGAATTCTCATAACAGAATTCTCATCAATTTGCATCAGAGCCAACGATTCTGCAGACCATAGACAGCACCATGACAAACCGGGAAAGGTTTGAACAATTGGTAGAGTCCATGAGAAGCCTCACAACGTCCCTAAGAAAATTATCGACTAAATTTGAAGCATCACTACATCGGTCTTCAACTCCGGATTCTTCTCGACGGCATAAGCGAAGGAGTCACCGCAAAAGATCATCGTCGCACTCCTCCTCTTTGTCGGAACCAACGCAGCATAGGAGAAAGGATGATCATCACTGGAGATCAAGTTCGTCCGAGCTATCGTCCTCTGAATCGAATGCTACCTCTGGAAGCGACAGTAGCTTACACAGCAGTAGGTCCAATTCGCAGAAGGATAGAGGACGTAAATACAGTAACCCTAGGCAAGAGCATCTCAAGTTAGATTTCCCAAAATTCTCTGGGGATAATATCATGGTTTGGCTAGACAGGGCCAGACAATATTTCTCTGTTAAAGAAATCCAAGGGCACCAGAAAGTATTGATATCATCTTATTACCTTGAAGGAGAAGCTAATTTGTGGTGGCAATGGTTTTCTAATAATACCAAAGGCAGAGTTTCATGGAGACAAATGGAAAGGGGAATTTTAAAGCGATTTGGGCCTTCTGACTTTGAAGACTAGAATTAGTAAGCAAGATCAAACAAATTGGCTCTTACAGGGACTACTTGTGTGAATTTGAAAGGATATCTACAAGAGTGGTAGGATGGTCTTCCAATGCTCTTCTCGGGACCTTCCTGGGCGGGCTAAAGGATGACATAGCTCTGGAGGTTCGATTATTTCGTCCCCGGAAACTTAAAGAAGCTATGGATTTGGCAAGACGGGTGGATGAAAAACAACATCAGGGAAAGAAACTTGCAACGATAGCAAATAAAAATGCTCCATGGAGAACAATACCTACTAATCCGATGCCTACTACAACGGTCAACTCTACATCAAAGGCTTTAACACCTACTATGGCCCGACGCTTAACAGTAGAGGAGATGAAGGCACGAAGAGAGAAGAATTTGTGCTATAACTGCGATGAATTTTTTTTCCAGGACACAAATGTAGGGCTCAACAGTTTGTGATTGAGGATTAAGAAGGAGAAGAAGAAGACCCACCCTCCCAGAACAGATCAACTGATGAAAGTGAAGAAGGTCCTTTAATTTCATTACATGCCCTAGCACGAGGAATTGATTCCAGGGCCATGCGAGTGAAGGGGTTATTCAAACACCATCAATTAAATTAATATTCTAATCGACTCAGGATCAACACACAACATCAATAAAGACACTCCTGCATCACTCAAACTGGTTGCCACCGCAATACCCCCCTTTGCCACTAAGGTAGCTAGTGGTGATCGACTATGGTGCTCTGAAAAGTATGAAGGGGTAACAATCTCAATTTAGGGTTATACATTTAATACCACTCTTTATGCTCTACCAATTTCTGGAATGGAGGTTGTCCTCGGGATGCAATGGCTCAAAAGTCTGGGAAGGGTAGTATCAGATTACAATGCCATGACAATGGAATTCACCATCAATGGAAAGCTGCAAGTAATAAAGGCAGATCCGATAAGGCCATCATATGAGGTGTCTACCAATGCACTTTTAAGAGAGTGGAGGAAGGGCGGAGAATTATGTGTACTTACAGCCTGTGAAAACCATTCAAGGGGTGAGGCTCATGACCAACAACCGACCCAAGTCGGGGATCTATTGCTTGAATTCGCCCATATCCTTGAGGATCCCAAATCACTGCTGCCAAGAAGGGACTACGACCACTGCATTCGGTTGACAGATGAACAACGTCCCATTAGTGTAGCACCATACCGCTATGCTCACTTTCAAAAGGCTGAAATAGAACGCCAAATTTCTGAGATGTTACAGATTGGGCTTATTCGCCCAAGCCCCAGCCCTTTTTCATCTCCCGTTCTACTAGTAAAGAAAAAGGATGGGTCATGGAGGTTCTGCACCGATTACCGAGCTCTTAATCAGGCCACCATCAAAGACAGGTACCCAATTCCAACCATCGATGAAATGCTCGATGAACTGCACGGTGCCATTTATTATTCCAAACTTGATCTTCGTGTTGGGTACCACCAAATTCGGTTACACCCAGATGATGTGCATAAAACAGCCTTCCGCACTC